CCATGGACACAGCTGATTTGAAGATGCCGGCAATGCACATTAAAGGATTTGTCCACAAGTTTCACCCGCATAGAAGCGTAGTCTTGAGAATTGTCCTGTCAAATGCACACCAGGAAAAGGCAACACATGGTAACAATCGCCCATGCTGATTACAGGACAAAGCCCGCCTGCGAAAAACCAGCTGATACACATGCCTTGAAGAGCTCGCGGTCCATGTCGAGGAGAGTCTGTGCAATGGCTTCAATTATTCTTGGATGTTCTGCAGCTCCGCTTCGGGCGAGGGGGTAGTTGACAGGGTCGCCCCGCCCTGCAAGTTCACACTTGGAAGCATAAGTCGAAGTCTGGCCAGCTGCTGGTGCAAGCACGACTTCCACACTGACTCGTACTTGTGCCGGAGTGGGAACTGTATTATCAATCTTCTGCTGCACAGGATCAGTCGGCAGGGAAGCACAAAGCGATTGCAACGAATGGAAATGCAAGTCGCTCTGTCCATGACGCCGTAAATCTTCCAGCTGAAGGCGGTCACCGTACTTGCAGCTTGAGGCCACCTCAGGAAAGGCAAGCACGGCACTGTAGATTACCAGACGGTCTTTCGTGCTGGAACTCCGAACGAAAGCGCAACAGATGCCAAGGGACGTCTTGCTGTCTGCCTTTCGTCCCTCTGATGAATGCAGACGAAGCAGTGTCAGGACAGGAAGCCGCCCTGTTGCAAACGACGCACAGAAGACCCCACGGCTGAGTCGAGCTTGTCTCGGCAAGCCATGGCACAGTCACACCATCGGGCCTGCACGTGTGCGTTGGCAGCACTAGAAGTAACCCGCGAACGACGGAAGAGCCGCCTCGTCCACGTAAGATCTCGGCACCATTTGGCACCGTTCTTGATGAACTTGCATCTATTGCAATGTTTCACCGCCAGCTTGGCCTGAGAGCAAAGTTCATTGCGCATGCAGCATGTTCTGAATACGGGACATGTGTCCAGGGACACGGCACTGCCATGCTTCTCGATGCATCTCCGGCAATGGGCACCTGCGGGGGCAAACGACGAAACACTGTGATATCGGAAGTCTTCATGTGTGGTATTCGTGCATCCGAGCTGCCGTCAGGGCTTCGTGGCCGGGCGACTGCCATGTCTGTCCAAGTGTCCCCGAACAATCGTGTTTGTTTGCATCCCGATATAAAAGAAACCCTCCATGACGAGATGCTAAATTCTGCAGCTGCTAGAGTGCTAGAGAAGAGAGACCCTCCCGCGTGAGTGAAAGAATGGTTCGTGTTTTCGCACTGCCGGACAAGAAGAGCTAAGGCCCCGAGCTTGAAGTGACAACAATGTGGCAAGCAATGGTGAAGACACTTGTGTCAAATGTTCGCAATTCACTCTCAAGCTGCTCTTTTGGACCGGAGCACCAATGCCGGCATGGAGCGGAAGGGCTGTGCCTCAGATATAAATTTAAGGCTTCAGGCTTGATTCATTCAGCGTTCACATTCACACAATCGCAGCTAGGAGGCTGCATCTCAATCATGCACTGCTTTGTGACGAGGATCTCGAATGAAACCTGCGCAAAGCTCAGTATGGTAACATAAGTGCGGAGCAACATGAACCACCGACCAACCGATCCCGGCTCGCCTGATCAAAACCGGATGCACTGAGGACCGTCCCACCTGGGAAAGCATGAGGGCGTGATAAGGAAATGACAAACCGCCCGAAACCCCAAACCACCAAACCAAAACAACGATGCTACAAGCCTTGGGGACCATCGGTCCCCCGCACTCGGGGTCCGTCGGACCCCTACCCAAAACTTGTGGTCCATCGGACCAATTCCCTCAGGACCATCGGTCCCGCCCCGAACAAAACCTGGATCGAAGGGCTAAGGCGGCTAAGGCTGAGGTGCATGCACGTGGAGCAGCCTGAGCAGACCTGACCGGAAGCGGGCCACCCACCAACTCAAAACTTTCTATGCGACGATGGGTCATTGCCAGGCCTCGAGGTAGCATCCAAGACCGACCTGGATAGAAGAAGGAACGAACACATCTGAAGCCAACAAACACGAGAGCTTTGCACGAGGCCGGCACGATGGCAAGCTTCCGCAACTGACACGGCCTGGGCGAGACATGTCAATTGCAACTCGAACTTAAAAAGAATCTCTCAATCAAGCAACTCTTCGGCTCGGCTCAACTTTTTTCATCCCGGTGCGCCGCTCAGGACCTCGGATTCGGGGTACGGCTTCGCGATCTCCCCCGCTTCGGCCCAGCACCGGCATCGCCACGGCCGCGGCCCTTCACGGCATCGCCACGGCCGCGGCCCTTCACGGCATCGCCACCGCCGCCCTTCTTGCCATCGCCACCGCCGCCCTTCTTGCCGTCGCCACCGCCACTGCCGCCCTTGGCATCGCCACGGCCGCCCTTCTTGCCATCGCCACCGCCACTGCCGCCCTTCGGCGCATCTCCACCGCCACTGCAGCCCTTCGGCGCATCGCCACCGCCACTGCTGCCCTTCACGGCGCCACTGCCGCCCTTCACGGCATCGCCACGGCCACCGCCCTTCTCCGGAACCACAACATCGTCAAAGCCATAGCCAGGTGCCACCTGAAGTCCAGCACAACAGGAAGATCAAGCCAAAACCAAACAACGAATAAGTGCATCCAAACATAAATTATTTGCCCGAGGTGCTTCCAGAGGCGGATTCTGCATGAAGGTTCCAGGCATCCAGTGGGACAAAACATTGCGTGCCAATACCTTCGCCTCGACCACGGTGTCCTGAATCATAATCTCATTGAGCATTCCGCAAATCCTGCCGTGATTGTAAATGCCATCCGCACTTTTCACACGCCCGAGAACAACAAGCAGGTGGGCTCTGGCTCTCACCGACTTCGCCAGCCAAATCACCAATTGCTCCCCGAAGCGACGTGTCTGCACCACCTGCTTAAGGCCGTCGATGTGCATGTCCGTCAGGATAAACAAAATCTCCCTGAGCTGGCCCGTCGAGGTGCACTCATCCACAAGGCGATTGACATGGGCCACATCCTCGGTTTGTGAGTTGATACCATCACAGCATCCCAAAGCAGAAATGAAAAGTAACAGTAAAGAAAGAGCTTATGCCATCCAACAAAGCAAGGCTCTCTCTGGAGCTGGCGCTCTGCTTCCTGCTCATTCTTAGCCAGCAGAGCTCGTGCAGCAGCAGCGCCTTTGCCCTTAGCCACTCTGCTTGTTGGCAAGTTGCGAAATCCAAGTTACGAGAAGCCTCAAGCAACTAAGTGCAGGAAGGCGGCTTCCCAGGAAGAGGATGATGGCACCGACGATTCTGTACGAACCTAAGCAGCAAGAACTTCCACTGCATCAACAAAGCCTGCAAGCACTCACTGCTTTCGGGCAAGAAGCTGGAGCCGGTGCTGGCACTGGAGTCAACGGAGCTTGCGGCGGTGGTGCCTCAAGCTTTCACCAGACAGCAACGAAGAAGCTTCCAATCAGGCAAAAAGCCAAAGTCAATGCATACAAGGCGCTTTGCTCTGCTGCTGCTGCATGGCCAAAACCTCCGAGAGCTGTTGTTGAACAGCGGCCAATTGCTCCTGTCAGGATCCAAGCAGGGAGAAAAAGCCGGCATGATGCGAATCCGAGCCCGTCCTGAGTCTTGCGAGCAGCAAACTTCGCCTGGGACACAATCTTCGACTTCCGTGTCTCGCCCGGCATGGCTGCAACGAGGGTTGGCGATTAAATCCAAATCTGAGCTGCTGCCCTCATGTTGTGAGCTGGTGCCCTGATGTTGTGAGCTGGTGCCCTGATGTTGTGAGCTGGTGCCCTGATGTTGTGAGCTGGTGCCCTGATGTTGTGAGCTGGTGCCCTCATGTAGTGAGCTGCTGCCCTGATGTTGTGAGCTGGTGCCCTGGATTACAGTGATGAGCTGCTGCCCTCGAGTGTTGAGCTGTTGCCCGGCATCCCATAATGCTGTGATGCTCTACGATCGTGGCATGAACATGGCATGTAGATTGAGCCAGTGCCGAAGCATGCGCACAACCGCTGCTCAACATGCCAACACCGCTGACTCAAGAAGGCCGGGTGCAGGCTGCTGGGCTCCTGACGGATGGCGCCAGGAGCAGCAGGAGGCCGAACCAGGCACCTGGCGGGGCAGAATCAACCCCCCAAATCTGCAGCTCTGCTCGTACAGCACTAGACCAGGCCTCTGGCACCTTCGGGGGGTTCGAGGGTTCAGGGATTAGGGAGTAATGTGCAGGGCGTTTAAGGTCTTAGGGTTTCGAGCGGTTTAGGGGCATAGAGCTTCTGGGCATTAGGGCTTAGGACACTTAGGGGCTCAGGACGTTCGGTGTTTAGGCCCTCAAGGGTTAAGGGTTTGCGGGTTTTCAGGTGTAGGGCTTTTATAGTTTATACGGGGCTTAGGGTTGTCCCCTAGCTTACAAGCGAAACCCTATAATCCCTGCTATAACCCACCCAAGCCACCCCCTCCAAAACACTCAAACCAGGAACTTGGGGACCATCGGTCCCCCACCCCGGGGTCCATCGGACCCCACCCTTGGGTCCATCGGACCCATTCCCTGGGGACCATCGGTCCTCGTGAACAAAACCTGAATTCCGAAGTCCCTGAAAAACCCTATGAATCCTATAAGCCTTATTATAATAAACCCTACAAACTATTTAATTTAGTTGAACGGCGCCGGCGCCACGTCGATGGCACCGTCGAAGATGAGGTCGTCATCACGAGACATGTAGGGGTAATTAAGGGTGTGGGGGCTTAGGGTTTAGAGCTGATAGCTAGGCAGTGGTTTGGGGTTTTAGGGTTGGTTCGGGGCGTAGGTTTCAGAGGTTTAGGACTCAGGGTCTTAAGGTATGGCGGGATTTAAAGTTAAAGATTTAGGTTTCAAGGCCTGGTGCTCCAGGGTTTCGGGATTGACCAGGAGGGATTCCGTTGTTTGGGGTTCAAGGTCTGAGGCTGTTTTGCTATACATCCAGTGCTATGCAAACGTCCCCTGTAAGCCATATACTACAGAAATAAATCACATACAATTAAAAAGTATTAAAGTTTCCACACCAAAGCCCAGGATATACAGGAGTATCACTGCAAACGCAAAATGCGACAAGACACCGATTTCTGCTTTCCAGAAACCCTTCTGCGCCAAGAGCAAGGCCAGGTAAGCGTCGAATGCCAGAGAAGACCTGGGCTGGTCGTGGAGGGCCCTTAACAATCATGGTCTTAATCCTGCCTCAGATATATCGTGCTAAGATTGAAACGCCTTCTTGAAGCCAAGAAACGCCTCGATGAGGCACAGGGCAAACAACAATACCACAAACTCTCTGTGGTTAAGTAGCCCAATCGCAAAGTTAACCCACTTGCAGTAGTGGTCGTAGCGCCGAATCCGGCGATTGTACTGAAACGACTTGTGGGATCTCTTGGGGCCACGTCCGCTCTCGATGTCTTCTCCGCTTTGACCAAGCTCGAGATCTCGTGTCTTCCTGAGTTGCCCTGGGTCGCTGTAACCACAATAAGCCATAAGTCCCAGTGCCATGGCGTGAAGAGCCAGTTCAACAGCGATGAAAGGAGCCTGTGCCACCGACTTCATGCTGCAAAGCATGGGGACTTGCACAAATGTCATGAATGCCGCCCCGGTCACAATCGAGAGGCACAGAATGTGGGGCAAGAAAGGCTTGAAGTCTTTTCCATAGCACACATATTCGCCTTCTTCTGCATCGTTCAGGCATGCACCTCTTGAGCTTTGAGGAAACGCTCGGCTGGGAGAGGCTTCACTTTCTTGTGATGTTGGCGAGGTTGGCGGCAGTGGCATCGTCGGAGGAAGGGTGCTGTCACTCATGATTGGAGGGACGGGCCTTCCAGCTCGCCATGTCGGAGGAAGCGACATTTTGTACTGTTGCAGCACGGTATATGAGCTCTGCAAGAGCCCGAACCAAATGGCTACAAACACACTCTCCAACACACTCTGGCTCTTTCTTTGGCTCTCTCGCGCTGCTTGCAATGGCTTTACGGCCGGTTGACCGCTTGACCGTGATGCACACCCTCATTTTCCAAGATGCTCACCCGGAGAGCCTTTCGTTGCTACATAGACTTGACCCTAAACCTCCAAGTCCGGAAACCCTAGACCACCAAATCCCAGATCCCTATGGCGCTCCAGATGCTCTGACTGGCAGTCGCAATTGGTGGTCGGTCTTGCTCGAATTTTCAACCTCCGAAGGTTGAGCTCCTGACCTAGTATACGGGCCTTAATAATTAGGATATGGTTTTGGGGCCTATTCTACTATATATTTATAGTAAGGAACACCCAAACTAATATTAGTGATTATTTCGGCCCCTTTATTACTAACCAAAAGTAACTGAACCCTAGCTGAAGCTCACCGATGATCTGCACTGCGGTGCTCAGGACCGGGCGCACTCTCGGCTTCTGGAGGGGACCGGTCCTGCAGGCTCTTTTAAGCTTTCTAAAGGGGTTTAATGCATCAGGACATGGAAGTCGGAACTTATCGGAACCAAGACGATGGCAGCGACGCGAAGAAGACTGCTGACATCACCACAACTCCTTTCTGTCTGTTCTTAAAGGATGGATGTCCTGGGATGAAAAGCTTCGACGCGTTGGGCCCTGAATCATCTGCGCGGCTGTCTGCCAAACCACGACCACACAACCCCTCCCTTCAATGCTGTTCAGTATTCCAACACAGGCTACGGCCCCCTATGTTGGCTGCCTGGTTGGATGATGTTGTCGATCGGGACGGGGATCCCACTGCTGCTCCAGAACACATGCCTTGAAAGGAAGATTTGCAGGAAAACCGACTGCTTGTACCAGTCAATACGAGGATATCGAACTGTTAGGGGGACATGCTCCTAGCAGCAGCAGTCCTCTAATTTAATTATGGAATCGTAGGAGAGAGACACCTCCAACGCACGGAACCACGAGCCAGTAATTCAAGGATGCGCCAGCAACGTTGGTGTCGGCACTGGTAGGCCTGCCTGACATTTCCTCACTCAGTGGCCCGCGTTGGAGACGCTCCTCCACTGCCCAAGGAGCCAGACCTTCAAACCAATTGAGGGGCACTGCCACAGCTTCAAGTCACAGCAGATCATCTCCGGTGCCTTCTCTCCACCTTCGTGTTCACGAAGGCCTCAGAACCATCCGAGGAGGAACTCTCCCATACCTCAGAGGTCGCGGTCGAAGGCCCAACAAAATGCGACCGTCCTTGCCCTGCTAATGCAGCCTTGATGCCGCATCAACATCATGTCAACATGAATGCCATCATCATCATCATCAGCAGCATAACTCTGCCGACGACAACTGCTGGCGTGACTGCTGCTGCTGCTGCTGCTGCTGCTACTGGTAGTGGCACTGCTGCTGGAACTGCTACTCCCACTATTCCTACTCCTACTTCCTGCACCACTACACTACTACTACTACTACTACTACTACTACTACTACTACTACTACTACTACTACTACTACTACTACTACTACTACTACTACTACTACTACTACTAGTACTACTACTGCCTACTACACTACCACTACACTACACTACACTACACTACACTACACTACCACTACCACTACTACTACTACTACTACTACTACTACTACTACTACTACTACTACTACTACTACTACTACTACTACTACTACTACTACTACTACTACTACTACTACTACTACTACTGTGCTGCTACTGCTACTGCTACTGCTACTGCTACTGCTACTGCCCCTGCCACTGCCACTGCCACTGCCACTGCCACTACGGCTGCGGCTGCTGCTGCTGCTGCTGCCACTGCCACTGCCACTGCCACTGCCACTGCCACTGCCACTGCCACTGCCACTACTACTACTACTACTACTACTACTGCTACTACTACTCCTGCTGCTGCCACAACCACTACCACTACCACTCCCACTCCCACTCCCACTCCCATTGCCACTACCACTACCACAACCACCACCACCACCACCACCACCACCACCACCACCACCACCACCACCACCACCACCACCACCACCACTACCACGACCACTACCATTACCACTGCCACCACCGCCACTACTGCTACCATCAAAACCCACTACCACTACCACTACCATAATGTCAACTATCTGCGGCATGCTGATCCTGCGCCTGCTCCTGCTCCTCGCTCCCACCACTTCGACTTGAACCCACTGCTGTTTGTTAACACCCTGTATCTCATTTTGTCGGGACGAGTCAGAACTTTCCCAGGTGCCCGGCCAGGTGATTGACGTTCCGGCCTGGAGCCTGAAGGGTGCAGGCCGTTCAGGGTGCAGTGGAATCAAGGCCCGACTGACAAAAAAGAATCCTTTTTCGAAGAAGCGAGGTGGACAAATACGGCAACCGCATGACATGCACGAGAGAACAGTGGCAAGCATAACAAAAGACTGCCATTTTTGCTCGGGCTTGCTCAAACTACGTGGCATGACGCGCGCGCGTGGAAATTGAAATCAGGGTCCTATGTGGGGTGCTGTAGGCGCGGTCATGAGGGCGCGCGGTGACCGCAGTACAGTACCCAGCCCTGGGTAGATGACGACCGGGGAGGTGATACGATCGGGCTCTATGCCCACGCATACGTGTGAAATGCAATACAACAAGTGGTGAGGCACTTTCGGGAACTAGCATTACCAACATGTGCTTTGCAAGGACGTTTCGGGAAGGGCATGAGCAGCAGCAAGCTCGGGAAGTGTTTAACATGCCGACCTCGACGGCCACTTAACAGAAGGTGCGACAAGGGCATCTCTGAGCACAGGGTCTTCGGCACACAACAGTCTCAAGGCTTCGTGCTTCAGGCCATGAGCTGAGTTTAGAGCGTTTTCTAATCGAATTTGAGACTGGGATTTCGATGCGGAGAAGGTTTGACAAATGCTGTCGCAGCAGCTGGCGCGAACTGGCGGGACTTCATGTGAGGAGGCAGCATGTCAAGCTTGAACTGGGCTTGACCCAGGGCTGTAGGGTCCTGACTCCACGATTTCAACTAGCTGGGCATTTCTTGGAGGGCTAGGAGTACGACTGCGGAGCTGTGGTGTGATCGGCCAGTGTTGCTGCAAAATCTGCACAAGGCCAGCACTAGCCTTGTCGACAACCGAGTCGACGTTGCTGCTGAAGGGCATCAAAACCTGAAGCTTCCTGCACGAACAGGGTTCCAATCAAGTTAAGCACAATTAAGGGCTACTGTGCGGGTTACAAAAAAGGCAAACAAAAAAGGGCTGCAATGCGGCTACGGTAGGGGTTCTACGAGCCGAGCTAAGCTGCGCGTGGCTTCCTACATCACAGGAGGGAGGGTTTAACCGTCATCTTCTCAAACTCCCACATGCTAAACCCCGTCCTCCCAGACAGCAGATATCGCACATGCCGGAGAGTCTGTGCATCTGAGGGCTCTATTTTCGGATGATCCCTAGCAATGCTTTGAACCATCTCAAGGCACGTTATTACTTGCGAGCTAGTGGAACCCGAAGCCTAAAAACCCAAACATAGCTCAAAGTGCTGAAGACCTTGAAGGATGCCTACGATCGAGCCGAACCCAATCTGCAAATGGATGCAGATCGACGTCATGTAGACACAGACATGTGCGCTTTACCTAATTACGGCTTTCTGAAGCCGGGGATGCAAGAACGAGCGAAACGATCTGCGGGACTGCAAGAAGGTAAGCCGGCGCGGTCCCGGAGAAACCGGCCAGTGAGATCTGATTTTGAGGCTTTGCGCGGCATCGCTGACATTATCAAAAGCATGGCAGGAGCGTAGTGGCCCCTGCCAGCAGCTCCGAAGTAACGGAACGAAAGGCTGCAAAACGCATGAGCAGCGATATCTTCCCGAGTTTTTTCAAGAAGGTTATGGACTCCCGGCTATCTGTAAACATGCTCCCAAGCCGCATGACCAGATCCTCACGGGACTCCCGAGCTGGGGCCCATGGATCCGTGGAAAAATGCTACTGATATGGGAGTTTCCGAAAGTAGGGCACCCTGATGTAGTACCCTAAATAGTAGGATCCGTATTTTAAGGACCCCAAAATAAGGTACCCCTAATTTTCGGAACATCCCTACCAGAAAAGAAGCTAAAGCATGAAGCGACGAAGAGGCTTTGGGCAAGGAGCCTGCGAACCTACTACTGCCCTCCCAAGCCCTTCCCACACGGGCAGAGTCGAATTCTCGGGAAATGATGCTTGGATAGCTTTCTCTTGCTCTTCTGCGTGGTCTCGAGGTGCATTGTCAGGGTAGCCATGAAGGGCCGCATTACTTCTGCTTCTGCTCGCCATACCCATGGCAAACGACCAAGACTTTCCCGCTTCTTTCCAGGCTCTAAATAGAAGCCGAGTATTCTGACAAGGGCATGATTAGTGAATCGAATCATCAGGCTCCGATTACGGGGGCTATCTTTAGTTCCTACGCAGTCTTGCCCCGGCGAAACATTCCATCTACCCTCCGGTAACTCTACACGTGCCAGGTAGGGTCATGCTAAGCATGCGGTTCTGGACTACATGACAGTACATAAGTACAAGCAGAAGATACTTTTAGTACTTCTTCCGACCTCTAAAGGAAGGTAGGGGCCTCAAAAATTCGAATAGGGTTGGGGGAGGTATATTGTACTCTAATCACAGTGAGGAACCCTAAAGGTAAGATTAGTCTTAGTGTTTTGGTAATTCTGCCAACCTCTAAAGTACACCCAACTCATCAGCCTTCGGCTGATTGCGCCGGTGCATCGTCTTCGCACGAGGCTTGCGAAAGACCGTGCCTGGGCATCAGGAAACCATGACCCGCCTCGTTACACATGTATGTATCTGTATGCATAT